AGCTCCTACACAAAGACCCTCAGAGGCGCCTGGACTGGAAACAACACACGCACCAAGACTGGAAACACATGTCTCTACTCGTGCAGTCGGGAACGGTCCTAGACGACGTAGGTGAGACTCAACTGGTGCAGTAGTGCGCTCGCGAAGTCGCGAGGGCCAGTGCGGTGTAATAGCGTGAGGACCAAAACGCTCACGGTGGAGGTCGTCGAGTCGACGGTAGCAGCTGGACGCAGAGTGGTCAGGACTCCAACAGGTGGTGCCAGCACCAGGGCCTGTCAGGGCCCGGTACCCGCAGGGGCCGACGTCTCGCCCACTGCTAGCTGAGCCACTGCTGGGGGCTCCACCCTTTGGACCCGCAGGTCCCCACTGCCGGGAGTGCTGCGGCTGGCCCTACTGCTGTAGAACTCTATTACATGCCATGTGAGCCTATGCTGCTGCTGGTTCTGCTGGGGGCAGCCTAAGCTGCTGCTGGTTCTGCTGGGGGCAGCCTAAGCTGCTACTGGTGCACTGGGGCCAGCCTAAGCTGCTGATGGTGCGCTGGCGGTAGCCTAAGCTGCTGCTCGAGCGCTGGGGCAGCCTATGCTGCTTCTGGTTTTGCTGGGGGCAGCCTAAACTGCTGCTAGCGGTTCGGTGCGGTTCTGTGCAATTCAGTGCGGTTCTGCGCGGTTCTGTGCGGTTCTGTGCAGTTCTGCAGGGTGGAGAGTACCGGGTGGGGCGGCTGATTCTGGGTGAGGTGACTGGAACAGGTGGGGCAGCAGCTCTGGCTGGAACGGGTGGGGCAGCGGGTGCGGTTCTGTGCAGTTCTGTGCAGTTCAGTGCGGTTCTGCGCGGTTCTGTGCGGTTCTGTGCGGTTTTGCGGGGTGGAGAGTACCGGGTGGGGAGGCTGATTTTGTGTGAGGTGACTAGAACGGGTGGGGCAGCAGCTCTGGCTGGAACGGGTGGGGCAGCGGGTGCGGTTCTGTGCGGTTCTGTGCAGTTCAGTCCGATTTCTGGTGTGGCGGCGGATTTCTGCTCGTGGGGCGGCAGATCGCGGGTGAGGCGACGGCTAACAGACCCTCTTCGGGTAAGGCAGCGGGTGGGGCCGCGTCTAACGGGTGGGGCGGCGGTTATGACGGTGGGAAACAGGTGGGGCGACGGGTCGCTCGTGCGCGCGGCTGCTGCTGTGCGTGCGTGCGACTAGCTACGGGGCCGCGGGGCCCGCTAGCGAAGGAGCCTCGGGGCCCACGAACGAAGGGCCGCGGGGCCCGCTAACGAAGGGCCGCGGGGCCCGCTAACGAACAGCCGCGACGGGTGACGGGCGACGGGAAAAAAAAGAAATGGCCGCGATCGACGGGGGGAAACGGGCGACGGGCGACTGGCGACGGGGGGGGGTCTACAGGCGACGGGGCTAAGGTAAGCGCGCTACGGCCGGTCTAGGACGGGGGGTAGTCGGGTGAATCAATGCGGACAAAACACGTAAGACAACAGGACGGGAGGCACAGAATAGTCGGACAACATGTCGTGAAACACAATGAGTGACAGCTCAGGAGGATGTGGAAGGATGGGAGGATGTGGAACACGAGAGCGGAGAACAAGGTGAAACGTCCCGTCCGCACGGTAACGGGACCGACGAGGCTCTGGAGACACCGCACGAATTAGGAAAGAATGGCGAGTCCACAAGGAAAGGGACCCGACATAGAGAACATGAGGGGACGGTAGAGGACCACGAACCAAACGTGCAAGTGCAGGGTTGGGCATGTCGCGAAGTCGCTGCTACTCCGCCTCCCCTGGCGTCCGCTGCGAGGGCACCTGCCCCTGCTGCTGCTCCTGTGGCTCCTACTCTGCCCTCTCCTGCTTCGGATGCAGCTGCACCTCTTGCTGCAACCGGGACTCCTACGCTACCCTCTCCTGCTGCGGTCGTGTCTCTTCCTCTACTCTCTCCTGCTGTGTATGCAATTGCACCTACTGCTGTGGGCGGGACGCCTGCTCTACCCTCTCCTGCTGCGGTGGTGACGCCTCCTATACTCTCTCCTATTGCGACTGCAACTGCACATGCTGCTGCACTCGTGACTCATCCTCTACTCTCTCCTGCTGCGACTGCAACTGCAGCTCCGGCTGCGACCGGGACTCCTGCGCTACCCTCTCATGCTGCGGCGGTGACTCCTCCTCTACTCTCTCTTGTAGATGCGACCGAGACAGCTCCTGCTGCTGCTGCCGTGCCCTCTCAAACCGCTCACTCTGCTCCCTCTCCAACCGGAGGAGACAGACGCTGCTCACGGGCCAGGAAACGTACAGTGCGCTGTGTAGGTGCCAAGGTGCGAGTGCCTCCAGCTCCAGCACCCCCATAACCAGCACCTCCACCACCGACAGCCCCGGTGCCTCCCGTACCTCCCGCAAGAACACCCCCATGCTCCGTAGCAACCGGCTGTAGAGAAGAACGGAGAGGAAACTGCGGGACGGACGGGAAGCTAGGGGGTGACGCGGGGCGAGGCCGCCGAGTCGAGGCTGCCGCGTCCTCCACGGGAGTGACCTCCACGCCACACCCGATGCAACCCCAGAGCCGACACCAACGGCTCCAGCAGCCCAGCAAACTCACCCTCCGCAACTGCACCTCCCGCACCCCCCAAGACACGACAAGGACTGGACGCTACTGGGGGGATGACTGCGGAGCGACATGCGACACACCTGACGGGGCAGGACGCAAAGGGGGGGGCTACCAGGGCGATTGGAGGGGGCTCAAGGGTGAGGGACAACGGGGGGGAAAAGACCTCAGTACCTCGGTGGGGGCGACTCCTGTAGTAACAGACAGACTCGTCAAACGTGACGTCATGAGAAGCGAAGAACCCGCAGTTGACCGGGTTGTAGAACAACCAGCCAGAGGCGTCCAAAGGGAAGCCAAGAAAGACGCAGGCACGAGTGCGCGGAGACAACTTGTTCGCACCAGGGGCGTGAACGTGAGCCAGATAACCCCCAGACGAGGAAGTCAGCTGCTACGCCTGGAGAACCTATCCAAAGGGAGATCGGTGTCACCCGTGGCCGTGCGTCATTGGGCCACAGGTTCAGCTGGTACGTGGCGTAGCGGGCTGCCCGAGGCCACAAGTACTGGGGGGCAACAGCATGGCACATGGAGGTCAGCAACCTTCATGACCAGGCCGATGCGTCGCTCGGCTAACCCGTTCTGCTGCGGCGAGGCTGGAAGCGTGTAAGATTTGATGATCCCCGACTTTGACATAACGTCTCCAGGCAAGTGGAAGGAAACTCACCACCACGGTCCGAGTGTAGGAGGAGCCCACACAAGCCCTAGGCGCCACCCCTTGCTTATAGCCATGGCTCGAGGACGGTAGGCACGTCGGCCTTTTGTCGCAAGGGGAAAACCGTGGTGTAGTGCGAGTAGACGTCCACCACAATCAGGAAGTAGCGCTCCTGACGTGGGCAAAGAGCCAGGGAGGGGTCCCAGACGTCCAAGTGTAGGGTCTAAAAGGGAGCCATGGTGGGGGGGAACGAGGAGTGAGGGGAAGCGCGGTGCCGACCCTCGACGCAAGGAGTGCACGGCGGCGCAGGCGAGCGAGGAAGCGGGGCAAGCGACTATGGGAGACCTGAGACCAGACGGTGACGTACCATCCTACTGAGACCTGGGAATGACGAGTGACCTATACGGTGGTGCTAGAGTACCGACGGGTGGGTGAGGAAACGATAGTCGCACGACACAGCAGCTACCTTACCTGACCTGACCTGACCTGACCTGACCTGACCTGACCTGACCTGACCTGACCGAGTGTGGTGTGAGTACAGACCAGAGCCCGGCTTCCTGTGGAAAGTGGCCAGAAGCACCCCAGTGGAACCGACTGTGCAGGAGGCAACAAGCTCGTCCGTAAGGAAAGAGGAGGTGACTGACATCCATAAAGTTCCTCAAGAAAAAGGGGGTGTAGTAACAGGTGATGACCCCAGAGGGAGCCGCCGGACACGGGAGAGTGGTGGTCCTGTGGGCTACGACAGGTCCCACGGAGGGGTCACCCAAGGCGACAGTGACTGGAGTGTGCAGTGGCGTGAGGTCAGTACAGTCGCGAAAGAAACAGCTGGACGCTCTAGAGTCTAGGGTGAAGGAAAGGTGTGCAGGTTGTGAGGTCGCACCCGAGCTATCGACAAAGGCTGGTGCTAGACTAGTGGTGGCTGCAGCTCCTACACAAAGACCCTCAGGGGCACCTGGACTTAAAACAACACACGCACCAAGATTGGAAACACAGGTCTCTACTCGTGCAGCCGGGAAAGGTCCTAGACCAGGTAGGTGAGACTCAACTGATGGAGCAGTGCGCTAGCGAAGACGCGAGGGCCAGTGTGGTGTAATAGCATGGGGACCAAAATGCTCACGGTGAAGGTCGTTGAGGCGACAGTAGTAGCGGGACGCAGAGTGGTCAGGACTCGAGTGGGTGGTGCCAGCACCCAGGCCAGTTAGGATCCGGTACCCGCAAGGACCGACGTCGCGCCCACTAATGGTTGAGCCGCTGCTGCGGCCGATACCCTAGGACCCACAGGTCCCCACTGATGTGAGTGCTGCAGCTGCTGTCGTTGCGTACCCTGCTGCTGCTGCAGAACTCTAGCACACGCCATGGTAGGCGCTAGAGACGGCCGAGCGCGGTGGGGAGCGGTTAGGAGCGGTTGCTAGCTACAGCTTATGCTACTGCTGGTTCTTCTGGGGGCATCCTATGCTGCTGCTGGTGCTGCTAGGGGCAGCCAATGCTGCTGCTGGTTCTGCTGGGGGCAGCCTATGTTGCAGCTGGTTCAGCTGGGGGGCAGGCTATGCTGCTGCTGGTTCTGGTGGGGGCAGCCTATGCTGCTGCTGGTTATGGTGCGGGCAGCCTATGCCGCTGCTGGTGCTGGCAGCAGCCTAAGCTGCTGCTGGTTTTGGCAGTGGGGAATGGTTCTTGGCGGATCTGGGCGGTTCTAGACGGCCCTGGGCGGCTCTAGACGGTCCTGGACGGTCCTAGGCGGTCCTGGGCGGTTATGGGCGATTAAGGGCGGTCATGGATGGTCTTGGGCGGTTCCAGACGGTCCTGGGCGGTCATGGGAGGTTCTGGGCGTTCCTGGGCGGTTCTGGAGGGCTAAAAGCAGCCGAAGATGACGGACTGCAAGGCGTACAGGGAGGGGAGGCGACGGGGCTGGTGGACAGGGCTGGCGGACGGGGGTGGCGGACGGGGCTGGCGACGAGGCTGGCTGACGGGGCTGGCGACGGGGCTGGCGACGGGCTGGCGGACGGGGACGAGACGGGGTTGGCGAATGTGGGCGCGATGGGGCTGGCGTACGGAGCTGGCAGATTGCAGGGCGGTGGGGAGGGGACGCGACAGGTAGGGGAAGGGGAGGCAACGGGGAGGGGACGCGACGGGGAGGCGACGGGGAGGGGTTGCGACGGGGAGTCGACAGGGAAGAGATGCGTCAGGGAGGCGACGGTGAAAAGACGCGACGGGCGACAGGCTACGCGGGGGGGGGGGGGGGGGGGGGGGGGGGGAAGCGCCCTTTGACGCGCGATTCGGGGGCCCCCGGGGGGCCTTCCTAGGTGGAGAGGTGAGGGGGACCCGCAGGGGCCCTTCTAGCTCGCAATTTGGGGGCCCGCGGGAGCCTTCCTAGGTCCCGACGTGGGGGGACCTGCGGAGGTCCTTCTAACCCGAGATTCAACGGTGTAGGGAACGGGGTTGTGCGGGTGATCTTAGCGCTCTAGTAGGGTTCTTACTTCTTGCTTATGTTCAAAGAGAAGTTTGGCAAGAATTCCACCAAGGAAGTTGAAAGAACAATTTCCATTAAAAAGTTGATAGTACAATTGAGGCATGGAGAAGTATATGACTAGAATGGCATGCAACTCCTAGCAAGGGCAAAATTTGCCAGCGCAGCAGAAGAGCGGCTTGCCAATGCTGCAGCAGAGAAATCTGCCAGCGTTGCTCTGCGCGCGGTCTGCCAGCACTGCAGTCGCAGGTAACTATCTGCAGCCGCAAGTTGTCTATCTACAGATATGCGCACCTACCAAGTAGGTGCAGGTTGGCGGTTTCACCGTCAGGCACATTGCGCAGGTGCCAAGTAGAAAACGTGTCGTCGGTTTCGCCAGGTGCACACCGTCGACCAAGCGATGTCGTTCCGCAGGTAGAACTTCGCCAAAACCTCCTGGGCGAAAGTTCGCACGCTTCCGCAGAGTTTCGCACAACTCTGCAACTTCGGTCGATCAGCTTGACATCGCTAGGTCGAACAATGTTCGCCGAGCAGAGCTCCTCGACCCGAACTCTTCGACCAGAGTTCTTCGACCAGAGCTCTTGGACCAGAAGTGTCGCGCAGAGCTCGTCGACCAGAGCTCGTCGCGCAGAGCTCGTCGACCAGATTCCATCGAGCAGAGCCTGCTCGACCGCAACTTCCGTCAAACTGCAGAAGCCCACTTCTTCGACCAATCTGTCGAAAACTTCCCGTCGACGGCGAGATCGGCTGCGCCCAAGCGAGGGCGGGGCCTTTCTCTTTGACTCCCGTGCCCAGTTCATGCTTGGGCACCCACACACAAGGTCCACCCAGAACCTAGAGGGATACAGTACAAGGAGAAACGTTCGTCTTCGTGCATCCAACACATAGCACGCATGTCACCGCACCAGCCGTGCAGAAGGGCACGGCACCTACTGCTGCACCTCGTCATCCCCGTCGCCCACGTCGGCCAGACGCACTTGGCCGATTGCGATGGAGCACCGGTTGAAAGCCGCAAAATGCAGCGCCTTCGTCAGAAAGTCCGCCGGCTGCTCGGAGGTCGGGATGTACTGCAAAGCAATTCTCCCGTGGCGAACCATCTGCTGCAGCCAGGCGTGGCGTCGCTCCATGTGCTTGAGTTTGCCCTTGAGCCCCAAGCCCTCTGCGGCAGTGATTGCCGACTGGTTGTCCACGTGCAGAACAGTCGGCTTCCTTGTGTCAAGCAGTCGGAATTCTGCAAGGAGGAAGCGCAGACGGCAAGCCTCCTTGCCGGCTAAAGGTGACCGCGACGTACTCTGACTCGGTTGACGAGAGCATCGTGCACTTGATGCGCTGTCTTGACCAAGAGACTTCGGCTCCTCCGAAGACGAAAACGTAGCCGCCCGTGCTCGTCCGATTCTGCTTGTCGCCAGCATCGTCGGCATCTGCGTAGCCGACCAGACACAGCGACTCTGGTCCGCCACCGAACTCCAGAGCGGCGTCACGGGTTTCAGCGAGGTAGTACAGACAGCTATCAACCTCACGCCAGTGGTTGTCGCTCCGCACTATCAGTGGTTGTCTGGCCTCGTCGTGGTGACCGCGAACTTCAGTGAGCCGACCTTCTGCCGGTACTCTGCTTCCTTGCGCGACTAAAACTCATCGTCGTCGAACATCAGCTCTGCGTAGGCATCGACGCAGACCGACATCTTCGGCACTCGCCCGGAATGCTCTACGTCAATGAAACACCGACGCAGCTTGTCGACGTAGACTTGCTAGTGAAGCCACAAGTTCCGCGCAGGACGGTCACGCACGATTTCCAGCCCGAGATACTTCTCGACCGGGCTGGTTTCGCGCAGCTCGAACGCGGCCTCCAGCAGCTCCTTCAGATCCTTCAGCATCGCAGTGCTGCTGCTTAGAGCGAGCATGTCGTCAACGTAGACGAGCACCCAGCACGCCACTCTGTCTTCGCCGACCTTGAAGTAGAGCGCCTCACTTGGCTCTTCTTCCAGTTCGCTCCAGTTAGCACTGCGTCGAGCGCCGAGTACCACAGCAACGAACTCTGCTTCAGTCCGTACAAGCTCTTTAGCAGCTTGCAGACGCGACCGGTGCCGTTGTTGTAAAAGTTGGGCTGGTACATGTAGAGGACGCGACCCAGCTTGCTCTGCAAAAACGCATTCTTCATGTTTAGTTGCATTAGGTGCAGGTCGATGCTGAGGGAGATCTGAAGAGTTACATAGCCCCCCACTGGCGCGTACGTCTCATCGTAGTTTGCAACATAGACCTGCGTGAAACCTTTCACCACCAGACGAGCCTTCTTGCGAGCGACTGTGTCGTTGACGTGGTACTTTGTCGTAAGCACCCAACAGTTCTTCATGATGTTGACACCGCACGGACGTTCGACCAGCTCCCACGTTCGGTTGGAGATAAGGCTCTTGATCTCCTCGTCGATGGCGGCCTTCACCGCCGTGCCCTTCCAGCTTGCCAACGCCTCCTTCACTGTCACGTTGGCGATGTCCCAGCGATGCTTCCGGTCGGCATGCATGTCGGGGTCGAGCTCGGGCAGATCGAAATCGTCTTCTGCGTCGTCGAGCAGAGTGCGGTAATCCGTCGGCGGCAGACAAGCGTGGTAGCTCAGCTTCTCAGGCGGCTTGACGATGTTGGGGCAGGTAGAACGTCGCGGTTTCTCCTTTTCGACCGCGACCTTTACCACGTCATCGTCTTCGGACCGCTCCCCTTCTCCACCACCTGCCGCATCGACAATTTCCACAACGTCGTCGAACTGCTTCTCTGTCGGCAGCTCCCCTACCGACGGCTCCCCCAAAATCGGCTTCTCTGCCAACGGCTCCCCTGAAGCTGGTGCCTCTGCCAGCAGCTTCTCAGCAGGTGGCACCTCTACCGACGGCTTGTCTGAAGTTGGCTTCGACGCCGACAGCTCCCTTGTCGTCTGCCGCTTCCCGTCGCCGACCTTCTCGGCCTCACATCGGCCACCGGCGATGCAACCGGTCAGCGCCGCATGCGACAAACCAAGTCTCCCCTCATTGCCGGCGGCCGACGAGGGCACAACAGGAGGAGGAAGTGGGACTTCCTCTACTTCCTCGTCATCAAGCTCGTCAACGTCGGCGAGCAGCGGAGGCGTCTCGGAGGAGGAATCCAGCGGCGGGGCAGACGGCGTCATCGTCGACGCCATCCATACTCTGCCTTCCATCTCCAGCGACAGGGTCTCGTAGAAGATCGCTTCGACTGTCGTGACGACTTTGTTGGCAGTCAGGTCGAGCACCTCCCAGCCCTCGCTTTCTAACGACACTCCAAGGTGAAGACCCCAACAAGCCTTCGGCGCTAGCTTCCCGCCGCGCTGCTGCTCAGGGACCATGAACTACACCATGCAGCCCCATACGCGCGCCATCGTCAGATCCGGCTTCTTCTCGAACAGCAGCTCGTGCGACGTCGTCCTCGTCGGCAAAGAAGCGCGCTCAAGGCAGTTGCGCACCTAGATGGCATTTCGCAGAGCAAGATGTCACCAGTGATGCTTCACGCCCATGTGCAGAAGCATCGTACGCACGTCCTCTACTACCGTGCGCATCTCCCGCTCGGCCATCCCGTTCTGCCGCGGAGTGTAGGGCACGTCAGATTGTGGAGGATTCCCTTGTCCTCAACAAGGTCAGTGAAGGCGCGACCGATGAACTCCCCTCTGCGGCCCGAACGCAACCTCTTCACCGTCTTCGACGTCTGCCGCTCCACCTCCTTCAGCCATTTTTTGAAGACGACCAGCACGTCGCCCATGTGCAGAAGCATCGTACGCACGGCCTTGACTACTGTGCCCATCTTCCGCTCGGCCATCCCGTTCTGCTGCGGAATATAGGGGCACGTCAGATTGTGGAGGATTCCCTTGTCCTCGACGAGGTCGGTGAAGGCGCGACCGATGAATTCCCCTCCGCGGTCCGAGTGCAACTTATTTACCATCTTTGACGTCTGCCGCTCCACCTCCTTCAGCCATTTTTCGGACTGCATTCTCGGCGTCCGATCCTTGGTCGGGGAAGGTGTGCCGTGCAAGTTTGCCGCCGACGCAGGAGGCACACGGCAGATTAGCTGCGGTCGACCTCATGTTTCGCTGAGCTCTTGATCGTGTCGACCCCGATGTACGCAAGTCATGCGTGCAACATGTCTGGGGTCAACTTTCGTCGCCGACGCGATAGTCCACGGAGCTACTACCCCCATCGAAGTCATCGTCGACTTCGTCGAGCATGGGCGCAGGTCGGTGCAGAGAAATCTGACGGAGTAGCGTGTTCGACCAAGGACATCGCCGGCAGCAGACACCAGCAGCATCTCTCCGCCGTCGTCCTGCAGCTTCACGCCGTTCTCCTTGAGCTGGCCAGCAGACACCAGGTTCGCGTGCACACACGAAAAGTAGAGTACGTCGGGGAGGAGGACTTGCTTCCTGGCCTCCCCTTGCAGAGCAACGGTGCCTCTACCTTCAACGCTCTGAAGTGCCCCGTTCAAGCCGCGGGTATGGAGCACGTCTCCGCTCGGCTGCATGTCGACGAAGGCCTCCTTCGTCCCCATCAAATGGTAGGAGCAGCCGTTGTCGAGCAGCACGACAGTCAGATTGGCCTGCACAGCAGTCTTCACTAGCCTCCAGCACTAGCGAGATCGTTGGCTCCACCACGCTGACCATCGAGCACGAAGCCTCTTCGCCACGAGCATTTCCGCGTAAGGGGGTTATACCCTCTACATCATAACTCAGTGTAACACCTAGACTGAACCAACAAACTACAACAATTATAATTTGACACAGTTACTGCCTGGCTCCCCACTGCCATCTCCTTACCCTACGCAGACATGCTCCCTGTCAGAGCGCCGTGAGCTTGAGTCTCG